TCAGTCATGAACCCTTTAAAGCATTTATCACACTTGAATACACTATTTTTATAATTCAAAGAGTTTTTTCTACACAACACCTCCTCAATCTGCTGTTCTTTTGTCAACACTATCATCTCTATATCACTGCCCTTATCAAAATTGTCATCATCAATTAAATTATCAAAATTGTCAAATTCCATTGGTACATCACCAATGTCCTCAATGTTGTTTTCATCCTTGATCTTCATATTTTCTAAATCAATTGAATTTTTACATTTCCTTTTACGCTTTTTACTTTTTTTCATCATATTTGACAATGGTATTTCATCGCTGTTGGAGTCAAAATTGTCTTGTTCCAGTTTTACCGTATTTATGTTGTCTATACCATCAAGTCTGTCATCTAATTTGGGTGATTTCTCAATATCATCATCTACGTTGTTAATGTCGGTGATATTATTGTCACTTTCATCAGACTGTTCCTGTTTTACAATGCGGCTTATGTTTATTAAATCATTATACACTATTGAGGTGTATGGCTGAATGAGATTGTGTGTTTCACGATCTATGTTGTGAACATAATCTGTAGTTAGCTGAAATGGAAGAAATACACAAAAATATATTGTACGCAGTAAATAACTCTTAAATGCTGAATAAGTATTTTTGTATATTATTTATTTATTTACTCAATTATTTCAGGCAACATGACTCATGTACTAAACTAAATAACTAATCTACACGAATGGCACTTGTCGGCGACGTGTGGCGCAATCTGGTGTAAGTAACTGGCCGCGGAATTGCCGATATATGACACCCCTTGGCCTAGACTCTTCCTTCATAAAGGTTGTTCGGTCGGCACTCTCACCACAAACTAATTAAAATTCACGTTGTGACGGGACTCTAACAGCTCGTCTCTCACTACGCCATTATCTCCTCAGACTTTGTGGAGTAACGTAGTCGCGACAGTTACAGCAGCGTCGTCGGTATGGCCGGATGGAGCAAAAAGTTCGATTCTGTTGGTGCTGTGCCACAGGTTAAGGCTGATGGGCTTCCTCTTCCACATCACCACCTCTGTGAAGCCTTCCTTGTCGCACTGGTCTGTCTGTTTCTGTGGTTTTGCAACTTCAGAGACAGGAACACGGGGATTGCTTTTACTATTAGCCGATTGCCGCAGCTGGAGTTTCGAAGTGGCGGGTCGGCTGGTAGAACCGGCTACAGCGGCATATGCATATGCAGGGGCTGATACGCGTCACACGCGATGGCAGCAGTGACAGGTGACGTAACCATTTATGCCTACTCGACACTTCTGATGGATACATTATGCGCTCCATGACGCGTGTTTACATTAGAGGCTTCTGGTGACTACATACCAAATCAGCATGGCTTTATAACGTAACTTGGACACGCAGCTTAGTTATGGTGTTATCTGAAGCCTCAAATCTACACTGCAACTCAGCCAGGCTTAACTTCAAGAAAGTAATATCCTTCTGCTTCATTATGCGGGCAATAATTTTAGTGATCTCACTCATTGTAAATGGCTTGACAGGGATGTATGATCAAATTCAGCTTTCACGGAATGTGTTGGTTTAAATATTCATACATCTAACCCCAAGCTACGTTTTAAAAGCAGGGACTGTAGATTCCCTGTAACTCTAGCACACCTTGGGCAACAATAAGCTTTATGTATGGAACCCAGTATGGAACTTTTTACGCCCAATAGAGGGCAGCACTAGGTAAGGAGATGCACAGGAGTTTCATGAATCTTGTGGCAGAATCTACATTCTCTGTTTTCTCTCTGCCCAATAATTGACATGTTGACTGTGAACTAGCAACCGGTACTATCTCAATTTTCTAAAGATTTCACTTTTTAATACCATTTTATACTATTTCATACTCTGCGGCATTGCAAGAAATTCCATTGTTTTTAATAACATGTGTAATAAAAATATTTAAAAACTACGTATTTTTATTTAATAAGCCTGATGCTATTTAAATGATGCAAACAAGTCTTTTCTTCATCCTGTAAACTTGTCAAAATTAAGATAGACAGGTTGCCAGTCCACAATTGATATGCTTGTTCAAGTCACAACGCCCTATTAAGGCTCTAGTCAGCATTCTGATGCCATTCCTGTCCAGTGAAAGAGCTTCCCTACAGTGTGTAGCACTGTAGGCAGCTATGAGGGCTGTTGAATGCTCAAGACTCTTAGTCTGCAAGGCAGAGATAATGGCCCACCATGTCTCTCTAACTTAAGTTTAATGTATACATTATACTTATCCAAATTTTGTATAAAAGTAGATATTGTACTTGAATAATAGTTAATTGTGATCTAGACACAGCTTTTAACTTCTCCAAGAATACTCAACCTGCTGAAGCATCCACAATAAAATATTATGATCGCATCTATAACAGATAATTCAACCTTCACTTCTATAGAATCTATGAATAGTGAGTTGTATCTCACCAAATGCCCTTGTAAAATAGCGTAGTGCAATAATTCTTGAGCATTGCGGCACCTCTGCTGGAACAGAGCGCTTTTCTGCAAATGTACCAGGCAAAAGCTGCAGAGCTGCTGGGGAAGGCTGTCCGATGAAGTCATCTGTTGAAAGAAATGACACAAAATAAATACTTTACTTTTTTTCAATATTTATAACTTTTTCAGATATTAAGCCCCCAGATTGTTAAATATTCTTTATTGGAAATTGAGAACCTCTTTTATTAGATCTTAAGTTTGAGATTGAATCTGTGGCTTCGAATTATGCATGCGAGTAGCCATTATATTGAATTTAAAAAATGTTTCAAAAGCAGTTTTTGCAATCTTTTCAAATATAAAATAAATAATGCCAATAAATCACAAAACTCTTTTCTTTAATCAATACTCAAAAGTTAACGATATAAACTTTTTGTTATTGTCATAAGACGCAAAAGCTTCGGTTTCGGAGAAAAAACACTGCACTAGCATTAGTAAGCCGTTAAATGAATAAATTTCCGACGAACACTTGCCTGTATGCCTGTGACCATTTCGTACGGGCTAACGAGGTCGTATTTATACATATTGAACAGTTTCGCGTCTGTGGCGAGGCAAGCACGGCACGCAAGCAAATCCTCCATGATTTTTGAAAGAGTTTCATACAAAATGTATAAAAAAAATATAATTTAAACGTTGAAACCACAAAATACTTGGTTGGACATTATTTTGATGACATTGCACTTGTTTTGACGAATATCATCATTGGCAACGTGTGTAAGAAGGATAGTAATATGTTTTAAATAGCGTCCCTGGTTGCTATTAATATAAGACAAAGTAAAAGAAAATAAGCGCGTCAACGACAAGTTTAATCTTCAAAAATTCCTTTGTCTTTGATCTATAGTGTGGTTAGTAGAAAAATTTTGTTATCGAATTTATGCCTTGAAATTGTTTGCTTTTTAATCGGTTTGAAAAAAAGAGGTCATACGTTCGGCTATATGTATGTTTTCCGATTGCTCCGAATTGGGGACCGATCTTGAAAATTCTTTTTTTGTTCGAAAGGGTGCTCTCTCGTGGTGGTCTCATTGTTACCAAGTCAGAATTTGATGTCCAATCCCATGGAAATCAAGGAAAATCCTTAAATTTGAAATGCTTGACCTACACTGCCACTCAGCTCACCGATTTTTCTATCAATTGTGGATTGATTTTCGTCTATTATAAATTACTAATTATTTTCCGCAAATGAAAGTCGACTTTTCATTTAACACATTAGATGTTATCAACAAATCATCGTCACCATGACAACCAGAAAAAAGTATAAAATGTACGAAGGCGTCCGTAACTGTCCTATTGTCACAAAAAAGTCAGAATTTGATGAGGGGATCCCATGGAAATCGAAAAAAGCTGATAAGCAAACTTTTGAGGTCGGTTTTTTTGCAGTGATAAAGTTACAATTATGTAAACAGTTTTACACTTTGGCTTTATAAATATTTGGTTATAGTCATTAGAGGGAGCGATCCTAATTAGTTTGTTCGGGAAAATATACATCGGTCTTTAAATTCTTTTAGTTCCTTAGTTCAGTGGGGTCTGGGAATTGGAAAAGAATAGGAACCGTTTCGATCTTTGAAGGACACGGAATGAAATTATCCGCACGAACGATTTATAGATTTAAATAGGAATGTTTTATTGTATTCCCCCTTTGCTATTTTATTCTAGTTTTGTGTTTTTTCGAATAAAGATTTTTTTGTATTTATAATTATTTTCTTTGTAATTTTTATAAATAAATTATTACATTGAAATAAACTACAGAAGCCTTAAACAAGTTGATAGAAGCTAAGTGGTACCGTGGGTTGATGAAAAAAGTCAGAAAACCATATTTTTATAAGTTATGGTCAAAAGGCATGAATTTTCACACGTTATTTGATTTTTAGTTCAGGACTTAATCATGTATAAAACATATTGTATGTGTGTGTGTGTGTGTGTGTGTGTGTGTGTGTGTGCGCGCGTGTGTGCGTGTGTGCGCGTGAGTGTGTGAGTGTGTGTGTGTGTGTGTGTGTGTGTGTGTGTGTGTGTGTGTATGTGTGTGCGTGCGTGCGTGTGTATGGCCATCCTTCAATTACTATAGTCTATTCCAATCAATTTTAAACAAAAAGTAAACCAACCTGTTTGGTTAAATCGAATAAGTAATGCTTTCACGTATATTTCGAAGATTTCGACTTGATGTCTCATCACTTTTTCCAACAATATTCATTTGAATAGCATGGTAAAATCGTAATTGAAAAATGATAGTCCAAAAGTGAGGTTATTTTTCATTTATACTTCTATGATTTGTCTGTGGTTACATTGCGCTGTACGAAAAAAAAACATTCTATTAAAGTTTTTGTAATCAATTAATAAATCGAAAATTTCAAACATAATCGAACGAGTATCTAAGTGTAAGGATTTGAAGGAAGATTTAAAATTAAGATTTCGGAAATTTGTAATATATACTTTTATAGGTTATGCATTGTCACTATTTTCACGTAAGGAAAACTGCTAATATGATTCAATTAAGCAAATCGGTTCATTCTATTAATTAATCGGTTTGTAATTGGCATTACAATTAATTGGCCATCACTAAGCCGTCTATGGTCGGGTCAGTGATGTTTACTTTTTGTTTAAAATGGATTGAAACCAAGTATAACGTTGAGCATTAAAATTATCGATATCTCCATAACAAATGTACACATCACTATACTTATACCACCACAGAAAATAAAATGGCGTCCCGTTGAAGATTCTACAGCGAAGAAATAATTGACGAGATTTTCATATTCTGTGGCGAAAATGGACGACACTTTTTATTGCTCGTTCGTTAGCGCCGATTATATAGTCTGTGATTGCGGTGAAAGCTTTTCCGGCGAACAAATGCTAAAAGAACATTTGGAAAAAGGACATATCAAACAGGAAATAAAACTGGTCCCGCGGAAGGTTAGTATAATTCAGGCAATTGCCTTTTGACGCCGATATTACTGTTTATTTATATATTTACTAATGAAACTTTGAAAAAGTTTGAAAAACTTTTTCGCAAATTTTATTTTGCTTTAAATTTCTGTAAGTATCCAAGGATACCATTGCAGAAGGACTATAAATGTCGCAATATTAATTTTTCCAACTTTTGGTATCCTGCAAATGAAAATGGGGCGCCAAGGTTATCTTCCGGCGAATTACTGGCTTTTAGATATAGCTCAATTACGCGCTAGTTAGTTTTGAAACCATAATTATAAAATGAACCAGGCGGTAACAAATAGGCACCATAAAAACTACAAAATTTTTTAAATAGTTTTTTAAGTTTTGGATATTCATTCTCATAAGAATTTACAATTCCCTTAAATGGGACGTTACGGACTATAACTAAAACATTAATAAGTATATTTTGCATATATAAACATGCTGCACTCTTAATTATTAGTAATAACTTAAATGTGACCCAAAGACGTGATATGTGTTACACAGATCATTTTATAGATATGGTAACTTTTCGGGTACAGATCTATAGTACGATATGTTTTATGTGTTGTTGCTTATTTGATTATTTTGGTTGAATAAATGCATTTTAAAGACATTTTTGAATTTATAAGTTTTTTTAGTTTCCTTTATTATTTATTTATTTTTTTATTATTTATTAGGGAGTTCGTTGTAGATTTTAGCACTTTCATATGTAATATTTATTTTGCCATAGTTTGTCCGAGATGGACACAATACAAGTTTATTTACATTTCTTAGGCGCTTCGATAATACCCATATTTTTGTGTTTGTATTTAAATAAAAAAGTTTTTAATTTATGTTTTGAATAGACTATCTATACTGTATGTTTGTGCTATCTTTTGTTTCAAATTCTCATTATTACTTCATTGTTAGTATTTAATTACTTATTGAGCATTGGCTATATAGCCATCAGCTTAGAGAGATAAATACTTAACAAATACTTAAAAAAACTGTAACCACCTAATATCAGTACAGAGTACTAAAATTGGAATTGTTACCGGAAAGCGCGCGAAACCGGATTCATCCCCTTAGTTTGCCACCCTTAGAGGTGGAATATTTACCTCAAATTTAAATGGGATCAGTACTGAGGTACCCTCTTTCCAACAAAACATGAATCATCAAGATCGATTCACAAGTGCCGGAGTAACTGCATAACATTTGCAAAAGAAAATACAATCGAATTGAGAACCTCCACACACACAAGCACACACACACGCACACACGCGTTGTACATGTAAATTTTCATCCTCTAAAAGTATGTGGTATAATGTTGTGTTATAGCCTGTACAAGTCCGAAAGTCTCCACTGAAGAAGAAGGAATTGCAGCCTGTGGTGGTGTACGCCCAGGACCAACGGCAGGTGTACCTCACCATGAAAGAGGTGCGACCCCCAGACATGCAGACTGTTATCATCCAAATGGTGAGGTTATTATTATTACAATGGCTTATTCAAGGTTTGCGCTGCTCCGCACTACTGCAACCATCAATACATCTGTTGTAACAGTCATTACTTATGACTCGGATTCAAGGCCAACAGAATTGTGGAATTAAATACTATAAAAATAAAAGGACATTTATTTCTCCACAAAACAGGAAGCACGATACTTAAAAACTAATACAAAATATAATGGAGTGATGAGGTAAAATTTTTACACATGAAAATATCATTTTTAAGCTACTGCTCGTTCACTACGCTGACCTCCCTGAGAAGAACAAGCAAGAAACTCTAGGGATTGCTCTTTTCAAATTTAAACTTACATGCTGTAGATTACATTTTGAATCATATCTGTGTGGAATCTAGACCCTTGTTGTTTTTCCATACATCTTTATCTAACACATACTCTTCAATTTTGTAATATGACTTTTCAATTAACTAGTAATCAGTTAAAGTTTAAAGGCTGTCATGTAAAGTTAAGTTTAAAATTTTGTGCTGCCAGTGGCTTTAATTGGGGACCAGTTGTTACTCAATTTCTGTAGATCTGTACCTAGGTGTCATTGCTCACATCGTTTATTAAAGTAAACGTTTTTTAGTGGGGGTGGTAGGTCATTCCAGCACTTACTCGCTGCGAAACGAAAGCTGCCCCTGTACAAAGCTAACCGAGAGGAAGTTAATAACTGGTGATGTAGGTACAGCATATTATCGGACATTTCCATTGTGTAACTGATCACGCCAGCTAAGTCTTTGGGCCACATACCGGGAGTCGACGAAACTCTCAAGGTGCACCAGATCGTTTAATTTTAAAATAATATTTTTTTTTCACTATTATTAATAAATTGTAGATATTTCATAATTACAATGTTTTTATAACAAAAAACCCGACCTTAAAAGTTCTTATAATTACATCTATTTGCCAGTGTTATTGAAATCGGTTACTAAATTTAAACTACAACTACTGACGTAACCTCTTTCCAACAAAATAATAATCATCCAAATCGGTTCACAAATGCCGGATGCGGATGCGGAGTTATCACGTACAATGTCTACAAAAAAATAACATACAGACGAATTGAGCCACGAGATAGAGAACCTCCTCCGTTTTTGAAGTCGGTTAACAATAACAGTTCATTAAACATAGTACTATACCTAAAATTAATTTAGTTAGTTCGGACCCAATGATAATTTTGCAGAACATTCAAATAAAATAAAAATAGGCTGTCAGACAAGATTTTTTGAAAAAACAGGAAAGTAATCATAAATAAAAAAATATACATCATCACCTCAAAAGTAATTCTTCCCCTAGTTTGCCACCCTTAGAGGTGGATAAATGGGACCACTACTGAGGTACCCTCTTTTCAACAAAAAAAGAATCTGGTACTGTAAATACTGGTAGCTGTAAAGGTACTAACTGGGTGATAAATCTGTAATAGATTTCTCATAGATGGCGCTACGACTAAAAAGTCGTTGAAAGATCAAGTACAAAGACACGACGCAAGCACATAGAGAAATTCGTGAGGTCCGTTGGTTCGTTCCGTGGCTTAGTTGGTATAGCGTCTGACACGGTATGCAAGAAGACGTCGGTTCGAATCCGACCGGATCGAAGGAATTTTTTCTGAGTGTTTTTTCTGAGTGTTCGATCTTTGTATTAATAATTATAAAAAAAGATTCTTCAAAATCGGTGCACATATTTACGGAGTTAGTGCGTAACAAAAAATGCAATATATAACAAAAAAGATTCATAACAAAAAAGCGTTTTGTATATAACAAAAAAAAATACAGTCGAATTGAGAGCCTCCTCCTTTTTTAAAGTCGATTAATAAGCAATTAAAATGATTGCATCTTAATTGGTAATTTTTTGTTTTTATTCAACTGTATTCAATAAAAAATTGTCAAAACTAGGCTTGCAAATTTAATAGAATATTAAACGGCACACGGGCACGGCACGCACAAACATAGTGCAATCAATTTCCAACTGTGTTTTGATGCTGTAGTCAGGGTTATCAGCTTATGTAGAAAATCAGTTGTGACAAATTTGTGCTTTTTTATTTTCTTGTTCAAGTTTCAACGTTTATTTCAGCCTTCATCAGAAGAGTCAGGCATTAAAACAGAAGCTGACATAAAACAAGAGCTGGTGTACGAAGTTCCTTGCTTGGAAGGCCAGGATGGCATCCAGTACGTGCTGGAGACTGCGGATGGACAGGTTGTTGAGGAAGTTCTCGAGGATAAGATACAGGTGAGGTCATGGTGGTCGAAAAGGCTCGAGCCTTTTAGCCCTAAATTTAAAGTTTGCGAGTCTTTTTTAAAGGCGGACTCACAAAAGAGTTCGAAAAGGCTCGAGCCTTTTAGAACTAAATTTAAAGCTTGCGAGCCATTTTTAAAGGCGGACTCACAAATCAGTAGTTCTAAAATTGCTCACTATAAAAGGGTTTGAGGCTTTTTTAGGCCGAGGCTTTTTTTAAAGCCTTTTTAGAAGACTGGCGTTAGCGGTCAAAAAGGCTCGAGCTTTTTAGCCTTTTTTAAGACTCACCGCTTTATAGTGATGGCTACAATATTAATAATAATAAATGGATAACAATAAATATGTCACTACATATTCACACAACGCTATCTAGTCCCAAAGTAAGCAAACTAAAGCTTGTGTTATGGATACTAGACAACCGATAAACAAACATATACATTTATAGACACAGAACAAATTATCATGTTCATTACACAAACATTTGTCCTCGGTGGGAATCGAACCCACGACCTCTGGATTAGCAGTAAGGATTACTAACCACTACGCCACGACGCCACTATTCTAAAAAGGCTTTAAAAAAGCCTAGGCCTAAAAAAAGCCTCAAGCCCTTTTTTTAGTGAGCCATTTTAGAACTACTGTTTTGGGAGTCCGCCTTTAAAAAAGACTCGTAAGCTTTAAATTTAGGGCTACAAGGCTTGAGCCTTTTTGACGGCTAGCAAAAGCCATAAATACAATTAGCCTCGAGGGCTTGAGAGTTATTTAGCTTTTTAGCCTTCTAGCCATCGCTATAAAGCGGCGAGTCTTAAAAAAGGGCTAAAAGGCTCGAGCCTTTTCGACACTGTAGGTGAGGATCATTTTGTTTTTGTGTGGAAAATATTTTTAAAAGAGATCATAGTTTTTAATGACCACGTGCCCCAAGTCCAACAGCCTCCCTACTTGTAACACGTTTGTCACAGTTAACATGATAATAATATATATTTATTTATCCCCACAATACAAAAGAAAGTAACATTACAGTAGAGAACATATTATACATACACTTGAGTAATGTATTGTGGGAGACGGGAGCCCAAACTAAGCAGAGTTTGTAATATATACAACCCCTAAGATGTCATCAACAGACTTGAAACTATTTTTAACCCTGAAGATACATATGTTAAGCCTACAGGGATTGTGTTACAGTATCTCATTTTTAGTAGCATTATCATCTTTTTAGTAGAAAGAATTCGTCCAGAGAAGTATTGTCACCTTACCTATTTTTGCCGCCAAGCAGTAATTACTGTGTTCCGGTGTCTAAGGGTAGGGCATTGCAGGCACATGGGTCAATTTATGTATCAGGGTGACGGACGCAGTGGCAGTGTCCCTACGACCTTTGAGTTTTAAAGCTCTGAGTGGCATTGCAACTGTTATGGACAGGCGTGTCGCTTACCATCAGGCCCACGACTTGTTCGTCCCGCCACTTGGTATTATTAGAAAAAAAAACTCTTCACCACTGTTTTATGAAAAACAGCACCATAACTTTCGAATGACAAAACTATTTCCGATTCAGTCAATTAAATAACCGATCGTCTCTTAAATACAGACGAACAGACAGACACGACGAAACTATGAAGGTTTCTAAATTGACTAAACATGTAAGACACGGTGACAGAAAATTACATTGGTATTGTTAGGCAATTTTTCATCACACTTGCTCGTAAATAGTATGATTGCATTGTGGCTAACTTGACTATAATGCCCCAAATAAAAACCTCGGGCCTTTTTTCTTCCCATTACAGCCATGGTTGGGAAGTTGGGTAGGAGATTTTTTTTAAATTGGAGCACGACATTCTTCCTTACATAGGTCAGGTTCAAGTTCAAACAAGGAGGTTCAAACAAAAGGTGATCTAAACAGAAATTTAATTGCTATTTAGCCACGTACTACTTAAGAATTTGATTTTAATTTTTTTCTGTATAAAACTTAGCAAATTTTTTTTACAATCCTTGATGGCTGTATGCGTCTTTGCTTTTTACAACATTTTAATTCGAGTTGTTATCTATGGAATAATAGCCAGTTGCTGGCCATCTGCTGGCCATCTGTTGATAAAAAAAAACATAAAACCCGCCATTTGCAAAATCCATATACTGTTGCGTTTTATTTATTCATACAAGAAATAAACATTGTTTTTATTTCCTCGCAAATGTGATGAAAGACATTGTATCTATCACGGATGGTAACAAAATACAAAACTCGAGCTATTAAAACCTCAGTCGTTATCTTCGGGCTTCTGATGGGGGTCCATTAGAAGCCCGAAGACAAAGACGTTAGTAATTTCTCGTTTGACGTCCTTAATACAGAATGTACTATTACATGTTTGCCAACGCAGACGGACGACGCGGTCGCAGCGCTGGCTGCAGCGTCGGCGCAGAGCCCCCTCACGAGCGACCACGACTACAACAATCGACCTCCTGCTGCACTCGACTTCTGTTACTTCTGCGACAAGGTGCGTTAGCTCCTTTAATAGTACATTATTGCAAAGGTCTTGAAGTAAAGGATTGCCGGACGAGTGTGAGTTACAAGTTACATTGTATTAATACGAGTCAAGCAGTCTCCGTATCCGCTGAGGCATATATAGTGCTTTTCTCAAACAATGTGAGACTACATAAAAGACTACATTGTATTTTATACAATGGTTGGATAATGAGGGTTCTTAAAGCAGAGTACCGTGATTAAGCCTAGGCCTAAGTAATAGGTACGAGATGTTAAGACCTAATTGTGTCATGATTACGTACAATACTTTTTCTCCGAAAATAAAATAATGGAACACAATCTATATTTAATGTATATTTTGTTAACAATCCACGACAACAAACTCAAAAGAAAGTTAAACAAATACAACAAAACAAGATAGAATACGTTTATTATTATCGGAGTATGTGTTTCATAATATACATAGAAATGAGACTCCAGTGACTGATATAAATCTTCTTTTACTTCCTGTCCTTATCCCACGCTAGGTAGGCACAACATGTATTTTTCTTTCGTTGTCCTATCAGCCGTATTTCGATATTCATCTTACACAATGTTCTATAAAGTCACGATTCGCTAACAGGTAGTTTATTTAGTATTTATTTACTGGCGAACACGCAAGATTATATTACATGTGCCCAGTAGGGCACACAGTAGGGTAGCTAAGACTTAAAAATATCTTGTACAACTTAAAAATTATAAATCACTAATAAATTAAATAACAAAATTTTTAAATAATAAAATATTTTAATAAAGTAATGTAGTATCAATGAAATAATGAATCTATATACTAATTATTATAATTGTAGAGCCTAATATGGGGAGATCAGAGTTGTTTTTGTGTTTAACAAAATCTTGCATTGCGTGATAGCAATAATAAGTTTATTATATTTTCAGTGCGGCAAGTGCTTCAACAGCGAGAAATCGGTAACGCGACACGTGCATTACGTGCACGATCGTCCCAGGCAGCAGAAGAAGCTTTGCGATACTTGCGGGAAGTGGCACGTGGTGAGTGCTTACCTCGTCCTATTAGAGTGTCCATCACACACCGGACGGCATTCGGTGTGGTTGGGGTTTTATTACTGTAGTCTGTCCTTTTTGAAGGCGGAGTAAAATGACATTTGCGGGGTTATCAGTTTTCAAAAAAATAAAATTGTGTAGTTGTTATCGACAATTTTATCGATAGATTGTGAAATAAGATAAAATTTTGGCCAAAAATTTCACATCGTTATTGCCACTTTTATTCTTATTTTGTCATTTAGCCTACTAGTATAGAAATCAAGTTTTATTTTCATACATCTTAATAAGAATACGTGCACTTGATTACCTATATTGACTTAAAATGGAAAACTTAAAGTATATCACCTCTTTGTATTTTAAACCGCTTCAAAAAAAAGGAGATTCTCAATTCGACTGTTGTTTTATGTATGTTACGCGATAACTCTGGCATTCGTGGACCTATTTTGATGACTTTTTTGTTGAAAAGAGCGTACTTCAGTAATGGTCCCTTTTAAATGTGAAGAAAATATTCCACCTTTAAGGGTGGCAAACAAGGGTATGAATCGGTTTCGCGCACTTCCCGGTAACCGGTTTTAAGCAAACTTGGCAAATAGATGTAATTCCACAACTTTTGAGGGTGTTTTTTTTAATTAATAGTTTTAATAGTCCTAAATGTAGTGTTATTGAACTAACAAAAATTGACGATTCAAATGTACCTGTGCCCATCAGTTGGACGGATAATTGGCTAATGATAGTTCAAATGAAACAAGTTCGGTTATTTAATGCATAAGCGCAATCAACATTCAATCGATAGTCGATAGAATATTTATCGACTGCAATCACTAGCTGCTCGCAAGCGGGCAACACTTTTGCGAAATGAACTATAATTTTACTCCATCTTCAGAAAAGACAAATAATAGTCCCTTTATATATCTTTCTACATTAGTTTTGATTATACGAGAAGGGCGCTATAACCTGTGCGTGCACAGGAACCTTCTAAGCCAGTTCTGACCCCAGATCAGCCAGTGGACAGGGTTGTCACAGACCTCATCCGATACTCAAGAGTCTAGTGCCTCGGGTGAGCCGCCCCGGGTGCACGCACAGTACCCTATCTATTTTCCAAATAGGTACCGGAGCTGTAGGCACGCTCACGTCCCGTTGCCCATTGCACAACTAGCTGTTGCCACCGCTAAGCCATCAACTCTCAAAGTCCACCACCAAATCTCCTCATTGGTGGCAGAGCTGTAAGGCACGTTCACTTCTCGACGCCGAAAAGCGGCGTCTCTCCAGATCCCAATACCTGACCGGACTGGAGGATGTCTAGCTCATCCTCTACTAGCTCTCCGAGCTAGTGCCGGAGATGCCGGTCGCAGTGTCCGGCGACAATGTCCGGACATAGCTTCCGACTTAAAGGGCAACTCACGAGGCCCGCGCGTCTCCTCGCTTTAGGCCCTTAACTAGACCGCTACTAAGGCGCCCCAGCCACTGACTATTAGAGCAATGGAATTCACTCCATAGAACTACGCTGAGCAACCCCGACTCGAAACAATTATGAAAGTTGATTGAGTAATCTCCCTAAACACTGCCCATGCAGGTTTCGCGAACTTGTTCATTGATCCCCCACGTGCCGCGGCCGCGCGATCACAGCGGTCAGCCCAAGAAGGCCGTCTGCGATATCTGCGGGAAGAACTACGCGGTGAGTATTTTGCTATCTTACCAGGGTCACCTATACCTGGTCGTCAATGTTAAATTTAAAATTTAATTGTAACTTATTTTTAAATCCGACTTTAAAAGATTGTAGAATTATATCTATTTGCCAAGTCTTATTGAAATCGGGTTAACCAGGGTGTGCCTCAGTGTATCCCTTTCCAACAAAAAACAGAATCATCGCATAATATTCTTCGATGTGTAACATATACACAAAAAAATAAAGTCGAATTGAGCTCCTTCTCCTTTTTTGAAGTCGGTAAATAAAAATAGCGACGACATGTTTAATAAATAGTGACGTTATTTTTTATTTTATTTATAATAATTATTTGATTGAATATGATGGCGCTTTTACTACCAATGTATCCATACATTTTTTTTTGTGAAAATAGGCCATTATAGGCTTTTTTTCAAGGCAGAGTAAAATAGCGTTTGCAAGGTTACCAGTTTTCATAAAATTTAAGTTATGTAGTTGTTGTCGACATCTTTATCGATAGATTGTGATTGTTATGTTTCAATGATTACAACTGCATATTATTCTTGTTGCCTTCTTTATTCTTATTTTGACAGTTGGCCTGTTAGTATCGTGATCAATTTTTATTCGTATACAATTTAGTAAGAACAGGTGGATTTGAATATCTACATTGAATTGAAGTGGAAAACTTTAAAATATGTCTCCTCTTTGTATTTTTCGTAAACATAGTTCTAATGCCGTCTATGTATGTATGAACTATATAACTGCCTCCGTGGTCGAACGGTTACCACGCTGCTGGTCTGCCACGCAGAGGTCCCGGGTTCGATTCCCGGGCCGGGAGAAATATTTGTATGGCCTACATTTATTTCTCTCGTGTAAATTGTCATTTCTGTAAATTATTATTTATGTTCATGTGTGTGAAAATATTTTATTTATTTTGTACAAATATACAGTTCTTGTTATACAGGGTGACAGGTTGAACGAGATAAATATTTAAAGAGGCGAATGTGTAGCTCTGATGCTCAAACCGAATATGTAAAAAAATACTACCTTATTTCAATTTTTTTTTTAAGGGAAATACTGCCTCTAACCTTTTGTAATACTACCTTTGTACCTCTGTGCACGCTTTGAATGAAGGGAAATATAAAGGGAAAAATAGTACTCTTTGAATTGGAAGGCTTTACCCGCGGGAGTTTATTTATTTATTTATTACATATTGCTTACAGTCAACCCAAAACGCAATAATAATAATAATAACGCTCACAATCAACATAGCCCCGCACTAGGGAAACCCTGTGTCGCGGGTGCCATGGACACACAATTAGACAACCACAAATTACACCCAAACTCACGAGAGAAATAAATGCAGGCCATACAAATATTTCTCCCGGCCCGGGAATCGAACCTGGGACCTCTGCGTGGCAGTCCGGCATGGTAACCGTTCGGCCACGGAGGCAGTTGAAATATAGTAAGTAATAGTAAGACTTAAAGCTAAATGAGCAATCAATCTTAAGTCAATTACAAAAGTGAATAAAATATGAAAATTGATAAAATTATAAATATAATACCATAAACAATAAATTATTACAGATTAACATTAATGACAAAAAAAATAGATAACATCCATTTGTTATTACATTTTAAACTAACATCTAATACTGCTGTCTCCGGTCAAGGACTCCAGATAGCGTCCAAGTTTGTTTCTGAGCATGCAAAAAGGTCCAATGAGGAGTCAAAGTTAAGCAACTGATTTAGATACCTAAGTGCACGGGGCAGGGGGGCCATCTCACTCACTCTACATCGTGTGGTAGGTACTGCAAATAACCTCATTCTATGAAGAGATTAGTTCTAGCTACCATAAAGCCTACCTTGGACAACAAAAATGGGTTGTATATTATTCCCCGTACCAGACGAAACACACAAGTTACCAGAGCCAAATTGCGTCTCACTTCTAGCATTCTATAACTACCATGCCTAAAATAAATGCTGTGGGATAAAGTAAGGGGTAACATCCGTACATCTTCTTGTATAAGTTTCGAGCAAATGTCATCTGAATTTTCTCTAATATTTGTGTGCGGTTGTGATGGACGGGGTTCCAAATGATAGCGTTACATTCCAATTTGCTTCGAAGAAAAGAGTTACACAAAAGACTCGACGTGAGGTTGGTTTTTAACGACTTTGATTGTCTTAAGACGAAACCGTGGAGATTGAAAAATTTTTGTGACATGTTCTCGGAGTTCAATTTCCTACCGCTCAGCTGTTCTGTTTCATAGAGTAGCCCAATTAAAGAGTAAGACGGAGAAGAGGACTAATTTTAACTGTTTTCAAAAGAGACTTTTGTGCTCTATATTTTCCAATTTAAAACGGATATTTCAAATTCAAATTCAAAATATTTAATTCAGATAGAAATCCATATTGGTTAGTAATACAAAAACAACTTACACACTAATGTTAGTACCTAATAATAATTACAGGGAAGAGTGTTTATTTGCAACATTCGCTTACAAATAAACACTCTTTTTTGGGTAAACATGAAGGCTGGTCCAGCGCTCAAAAAATGAACCCTGGACCCTGCCTGCAATGACGTTCAGGAGGCTGTTACCGCTGCCACGTAATCTGTGCGCTAAGGAGGCCACCCTTTTCCGTAAAATAGCGGGAAACCCATCTACCTGGGCCACGGCGAACATTTCCGAAGCACTACAGAATCGTGGCAGCCGCAACAGCATCCTGAATACATTATATTATTTATTTGACATTTGTGTTTTAGTTAGTGGACGGCAGTATAGTGGCACGACATTTTTTTTTCTTATGTTTAGGGGTGCATCTTACATATTATTCAGATTAGATACCGGCTACTCGTTTGCCTCTTTGAATCTCGTTCGCCTTGTCACCCTGTATAAGTAATTTATATTGTTATTGTTTGTTTGCCAATGTAGTCAAACGCTGCTCTACGGTACCACCAACGAGTCCACACCGGGGAAAAACCCTACCACTGCACCGAGTGTCCAAAGTCCTTCACCATGCCGTTCTTCCTGCAGGTGAGTGAGACGTTTCAATGCAAGAGTCAGCGCAGGGGATCGTAAAAGGGGTTGAAATCATAGTAAGGCCAATATACAGTAACTGGTTTAATAGAATATTTTTACTTTATAATTTAACACTAAATAATTACAACATTTTTCCAAAAAAGAAACTGACTGATTATAATAATTCGTGATGATATTGTAGGTAGTACATAATTATGTATAAATTAGTAACAAGACAGTTTGTTACTAGCTTTGTAGTGCAGTTTTTTGTCCCTAATAAAATAAAGTTATTTATTATAATAGCTTTGTGTGATGCGGCACGTTGTTGAAACCACGGTCTTCCTTACAGATCCACATGCGCACGCACACAGGCGAACGGCCCTACCAGTGCGGCCAGTGCAGCAAAGCCTTCAGCAGCCGGGCCGCGCTGCTCAGGCACGATCGGGTCAGTATTGTTTCTCTTATAAAAAAACATTTTTTCTACTCCTAATCTCTAATCTGTCAATTATTATTTTGTAAACTATCATAAATTAGTTAGGTTAGTTCTGAATCAAATTCTATCGTCTATGGTACTCGGCACCGAACTGAACAAATATATTATAACGCTGTACACAGAAATATATGAAATATGAGTTTCAAAACAATAACGTCATTTTTGCTAATTAAAATATCAATTAAGACGCTACTCTAACGCCCTACTGCCCCCCGTAGGGCTAGCACAATTGTTACGTTGTGAACCATACGTATTCATGCAAGGAATGATCATTGTATTTATTTTCTCGCAAATATGAGCCCCTCGTTAGTGATTTCACACAATTCCTGATGTTTATAATGACACCATAATTTCCCCGCAGGTCCACTCCGGCGTAAAGCCATACTCCTGTCCCGAGTGCAACAAGACGTTCTCGCAGTCGAACTCGATGAAGCTCCACGTGCGAACGGTCCACCTCAAATTGCCGACGCCTTACAAGAGCGCAGCAAGAAGGCTCAAGGCGCTGCAGAGAAAGGGAAGGGGAGGGGCGGTACAAGAAGTGCACAGCGATGTGAGTACAGCACACCTTTTATTTGAAGTGGACAAAGACCTGGTCATATTAGCCGATACTTAAGAGGGAGCCTGCCAAAAAAGTTTTGACGTTGGCTCCGCCCAAATTTGTGAAACAAATGTATGCCTGAAGTTCGCGTGACATGCGACAAGGAGATGTTGAATTTTGCGCATTAAAAGTACCAAATTCGTTTTAGCGGAATAGCTCTAAAACTAAAGGGATTAAAAAAAAATCCGTAGTGACAGTTGTCGATCATGCATAAATATAATTAATTATCTAATTTTTGTCCTAATAACCTTTAGCATTTCGAGGATGAATCGAAAAAATGTGAATATTAATATGAGGAAACTTCATTGTTTTATGTTTCTGATTAATGTCTATGCTTGAATATATCGTGTAGTTACTCATACAATATTTTATTTTTAACTTTAATGTGGATATACCCCTCTAAAATCAAATCGAAGATTAGGAATTCTTCCTCTGCTCCCTCTTAAATGTAGTCCGTTTCAATCCATTATCCAAGAAATGTAAATCAACTGGTTTGATTCAAATTCTAAAACAATCACTCAATAAATGGAATAAGTAAGATTTTCGAAGATTTCATTTGTCAACATCTGAATGCTGCGAGAGGCTATTGAAATTGAAAAACATCCTAATTTCAACAGGGTAGATGGTTTCTCCGTACCATCAGTTTGGGATCCTGTATTTCCTCTGATGAAAAATCCCAAACCGACATAAGACTGCAGTACTAATTAATATGTTTTAATTTATTCTAATTTCAATTATTAATTAATAATACTTTGAACTTAATAAAAATTCAATCAATAAAATAATTTGTAAAACGTAATGTTATAAATTCTCACAGCTTCACACATCATACATTTTCCTTATTATATTTTTTTCTTTCCCTATTATATCGAAGGATGTCATGTACCGACGTTTCCGAGGCCGGCTACCGAACACCCGCGTTGCGTCACACGTCGCAGATCAATACGTGTAAATAACAATTAGTCATTGGTGTTTTATTGTACTATTAATGTATGTTAGTCTATAAGGTATGTATTTATGGGTCGTTGTAACTTGAATACAAGTAAATAAATATATATTTTTTAATTCCAGTTCGGCGGCCTCCTGCCCGTGACGTATAGACAACTTAAAGAGGAAGGAATTCAAGTGCTTACTGTTAAAAAGGTCAGTTTTATACTTGTGGAGTTTTATTTAATTTATGTTTAATTCATGGTTATTTGCCGTCTGAATGTACGAGGACATGCGTGGTGCCAATAGTTAAAAACAGAACGGGTGATCTTAGTGATCCATGTAACTACCGACCTATTTCCCTGGCTACAATTTTTTCAAACATTTTAGAAAGGTTGATTAACCCTGTGCTCACTGAGCGTATACATTTAAATGATACCCAGTTTGGGTTCCGTCCAGGCCTGTCGACAGTCATGGCAATATTTTGCCCCAAAAATGCCGTAAAACATATGTTAAAGAAAAACATCAGTATACGCGTGCTTCCTAGATTTGGGCCGCGCTTTTGATACAATCAACTACGATTTATTGTGGGAAAAAGTGTCAGAAGCGGGTCTACCAACACAAATAGCCTGTCTGTTGAGGTACTGGTATGGAAACCTATCGTTAGGTGAGGAGACTCAAACTCTGACCCATAAATTTTTTTTAGTTAAATTTTTTTAATGGGTGTATACCTAAATAAGAAACATTTTATTTATTTATGATTATTTATTTATAACATAATTATTACTTTTTTTTATAAAATACACATTTTTTATAAAGGCCAGTTCTTGAACCTGATTCTTTGACCTCGGCCGACCGAGCCGTTGCCGAAGAATACCGACTCTCAGATTAAAAATTTCAAAATTCGCCTTAAGCTCAATTAACATTGGAAGTATATTTTTTTTAACCATTACTCAATGAAGTTTTTCATTATATTTGCTCGTAAACAGAACAGAATACGATCTCAAAAGTTCGTGGAATTACATCTATTTGCCAAGTTTTATTGAAATCGGTTAACGAAAAAGAAAACAAAGACCTTTCCTTTTTTTGCCATAGCGCCATATCGTCTGAGATAGTGCAATTACGCGTAACTAGTATTTGATTATTTCGGTAATGTCGTGGCAACCAAATTAGAGTGACTCACGGGAATTCATTGTTATGAGTCCGTAGACAACATAAACTAATGCTTACTGTGCAAAAATGAAAGTTGCACCTAACCACTGAAATAAGAAAGTAATAACGTTAAATCCCTCTCCTGTAAAATTTGGTTTACTGCAGGTGCGCGCTTTTTACCAATACTACATACGAGTATTTGCATTATCCCCGACGATATGTGAGAAATCTATGAAAGTTTTTCTTCACTAGAGAAGGCACCTTTGCAGCTACCAGCCGCTGGCTGGAGATGTCAGTTTACTAATTATAATTTCATAAAAAACAATTGAATATCATTGTTTCACCACCATCCTGACATTCATTATGTTTGTTGACGATGTCAAACTCGCTTTACCGGTGAAGTGCACCGCGGACTTTGATCTACTCCAAGCTGATATTAACAGCATTTTCGCTTGGAGCCGGTACAACAGCTTGGATATGAATGTTGAAAAGTGTTCAGTGATGTCTTATTCCCGGAGAGATCCAATCCTCAATGAGTACAGCCTCGGTGGCACGACCTTGAACCGTGTGAAGTCTGTTCGTGATTTGGGAGTAAGATTCGATTCTGAACTCAAATATAATGATCATATTATCGATATATGTAATAGTGCTTTGAAAAGTTTTGGCTTCATCAAGCGGCAGTCGTAAGTTTTTTGACCATCGAGAGGCAATTTGTAATTTATATAACGCTTTGTTCGAAGTAAATTGGAAGCTACGTGCGCAGTGTGGGGTCCCCACAATAAACTCTATATAGCAATGTTAGAACGAATCCAGAAATCATTTTTGAGATATTTGTATAGTAAACTTTATGGGTACTATCCTTATATGTACCCTGCACCCTTTATTTTGGGCATGGTGTCGTACAGATCGCTTGAGATCAGGCGAAAACTGGCGCTACTAAAATATATTTTCAACCTAATAAGAGGATGTATAATTAACCCTCCTCTATTGGCTCAAATTACTTTTTTTTATCCCGCCAATCTCACGCTACGTCTTTCGACAGCGCAAATACCCTCTATTCAATTTTCATTTGACCCGCACAGTGACACTATTACGGACACCATTCTTCGAAGCATTGGCCATAATTGAATCATTAAGCAAAACAAATGATATTGACGTGTTCAGCAACACTGAATCAAAATTTGTAACATCCGCTGGTTACTATTTGGAGGCGGTCACCGCCCAAAGCTCTGTGGTCCAAATTCCGCATCCTATCTTTGGCCGGTGATCGACTCAACCTTTTTTGTGACTATGACTTACATGTTTAGTTATAAGTACTGTAAGTGTAAGTTGTACAAACTAAATAAATAAATAAATAAATTCAATAAAACTTAATTACAAATATTTTCAATATTAAACGCCCTTAGCTTAAACAATTCTTGGTTGACTACTTGAAACTGGTATACTGAACATCATTTCCTCGAGTCCTTATAGAAAATTTGAATTAAAAAAAGCGGAGAAAACTTTTTCTTTGACGGTAACTATATTTTTATATTCTAGCCCTTTAAGGATAAAAATGCAAGGTGGCTCGAATTATATAAAAAGATTTACAGGTTTATTTTTTTATTCCAGTTGAATATGCTTAACTACGACAGCGATGAGCGTCTTCAAATCAAGTACACGAACGGCGACGACGACGACGAAGTCGAGTACGAAGATGAAGACGACGAGGACGAGGAAGAGGAGGACGACGAAGCGGACGAGGAGGAGGAGTTGTACAATGTCGTATAATCATCACATGTATAGTGAATCAGAAAATCACGTCAAATAGGCTATTACCTATCAAACATTGCTAAACACACAGGCCTGTATGAATAAATCCATCAGAAGAATTGGTATTGTGATTATTGACTTGTTTACACCAGGTCGACAAGTAGCTGTCGTTTGATCCATAGGTTCCCGAACTGTTTAGCTCACTGCCCACTTAGGCAAGATAAGAAAACTTCAACGCACACCACGATAAAAAATAAATAATTGTAAACTTATACTTTTTTACAAGGAAGATTTTTTTACAACATCAAGTGACGGGACGCACAAGTCGTGCGCCTGATGGTAAGCTACACGCCTGTTCATAACAGTTCCAGTGCCACTAAGAGCTAACTTATACATTTGTAGTTTATACAGGGTGACCTGAAATGAAACTCGATTTATTCTTTCTAAGGGGTGAAAGTAGACTTAATTTGAAACAAATTTAGTCATGTGATTACCTTGTTTGCTTTGATTACCGGACGACGCTCAGTGGGTAGGCCCCCCACCAGGTGGACCGACGATCTGGTGGAGGTCGCGGGAAGCCGATGGATGCGGGCAGCGCAGGACCGATCGTCGTGGAGATCGTTGGGGGAGGCCTATGCCCAGCAGTGGGCGTCGTATGGCTGAATGATGATGATGATGATGATTACCTTGTCCAAAAAGGAGTACTTTCGGAGATATTGAAGATTGTTTTTCTGAAAACTTTCTCTCTAATTCTTGTTTGTTCTTATTTATTTATTGGTTCAGCAACAGCTTAACATACTTAAAATTTACATATATTATTAAAATAATACAAGGTTAGTATGTGAGCCAATTATAGCCGAACACATCATTGTCATAATCACTTAAAAATAACATAATTAAAATAATAAACTATTTATACATTATTCTATAAATACACATTTAATTCGTATCGTTTACATCGGATTAATTTTGAATGATAATTTAAATATACAAAAAACAAAATTGAAACGTCCAAAAATAAAAAAAAGAATAAAACTTTAATTATCTACCAATATTTGACGAGTGGGCCGCGACAACTTTGTCCTTATGACGGGGAAAACTGATGATTTACTTTATCAAAAGCCTTCCGGAAGTCCGTTTGTATTGAGTCCACTTGTCCACGTATTGCAAAAGCTGAGCACAGATAATTTTTTTTTTTCGAGTAAGTTTGACACAGTGGACTTACCCTTAATAAAAACCAAGTTGCTGTTCATATAAAGATAACTTCACGTGAGCGATGATCGTACACGATAGACTCAAAAACCTTGGCTACACATGATAAAATACTAAAGGGTCTGCAATTGTCACATATTGATGGATCTCCAGATTTGTGTACAGGGACCACATGTGCCAATTTCAAAGTCGATGGAAACGTACCTGCGTTTAACAACAAGTTAAAAATTATGTGTAAGGGGACAGAGAGTTGAGAGGCACATACTTTAAAGAATTTGGGTGGTATAGTCTGGTCCCGCCCCCTTTCCGGTGTCCAGCTCCTTCAGCTTCCGCATGACATCATATTGTGTCAATGTTATGTTCGAGTGCAACAGTAGGCACCACGTGAGGAGAATCATCAAATACTGAACCAAAATATTGTGATAGCAGGTCACAGATTCCTGGACCGTCTGATGCTGTAACATTGCCCAGTGTCATGGTACTTGGAATACCTTGCTTCGCTTTTTTCTTATATATAAAGCTCCAAAAGACCTTAGTGTTTTCGGTTATCGCATCTTCCGTTACAGACAAATAGGCTCTATAGCATTTTTTCATAAGACCCTTACATCTAGTCCTCAACATTGAAAAAGAATCATAATCGCGTGGATTTTCGTACTTTTTTATTTTTTTTATTTTTATATTTTCTGTGATACTTATCCTTTTCAGCGAGGCTTTTTTTAAGAGAAGGTGTGAACCAGTAGGGGTAAGTATTACTAATGCACTTTTTAAGGGGGATTTGTTGGAAAATAATCTCGTTAACCACAGAGTTAAAGATGTCAACCACCGAGTCGACATCATTTGTTTGCCCAGTTAATTTTTCCTAATTCCGTGTGTTGCGTTGTTGTCACCTTTGTTAAAATTAAATCGCAAATTGGGTTTAGGTTTCATTTTCTAGTAATTAGTGTTGTTACAAACTATACTCCCGGACACATATTTCGAGCCACTTTGCATTGTCAGTATTAAATGTCCTTGGCTTAAATAATGTTTGATTGGTCAATAACTAATATTTTTGAAACTGGTGTTTTAAACGTCATTTTCAAAAGGTTTTGGTGAAAATTTGAATTTTCGAAATCGGGAAAAACTCTCTTCAATGATAATATAACAAATTTTATTCTAGCACTTGAAAAATAAAAATGCAAGATGGCTCGATTTATGTGTCCGGGAGTGTATTATATCTAGTGCTGGGTGATATCGATCCTGATGCGACAAAGGATTGCTTTCTGTAACTAAAGTAGATGACTGTACAAGGTCTAGTTTACGTCCTTGATAGTTTACGATAGGGTTTACTTGGAACATATTGCACATAGATAAGCACTGACACAGTAGTCTGGATTTTAGGTCTGACGGGCAATTGGGTATTAAACGAAAGTAGTTTTTATCACTAGGAGTAGCAGTGGACCGTACCAGATTGGAAACGTTGAAATCACCTAATATTATGTTAGTACTATTTGTAGCCATATTGTTAGTAGCTTTGTGTAAGCTATCGTAGAATATTGTGAGTTGATTTGTTGGTAAATATGGTGGTAAGTAGCAGACACATATGTTTATAACAGAATCTGTAGGTTTTTCAGGTATAATATTTTAAAGGCATGTGTTGTAATGTGTTCATAATGAGCAAGATAACTAAGCTTATTGTCCAGAGTGACACCTAAGTCCCGCACCCGGTCCACTTCTGCCACTAAAATACCATCAATATAGTAAGAAGATCTAACAATACTTTTATTTTTATTTATAATTTGTTCTTTTATCATTTGTTCTTGCTTTATTTTCTATTCTTCTACATCTACTTTCACCCCTTAGAAGGAATGTATCGAGCTTCTGAAAGTCGCTCAGCGAGCTTTGGTACGAGGAGTTTCTTTGAAGGACAAGGTACGGAACGAGGTTATCCGACAGAGAAGTGAGGTCGTCGACATTAGCTGGTAGAATAAGCAGCTGAAGTGGCGATGGGGGAAGCGTGTTCTTGAGTGGGGACCACGGCTCGGCAAACGTAGTGTAGGGCGCCCTCTGGCCACATGGAGTGACAATTTGCGGAGGGCTGCTGGCAACAGATGGATGCATCGAGCCCAGGACCCGGCGAAATGGCGCGCATTAGGAGAGGCCTATGTCGAACAGTGGACTACTATAGGCTATTGATGATGATGATGAATGGTACCACCGTGAACCCGGAAAGCCTGACCCGAGACAAACGTCAGAGGTCAATGTAGAAAAACTAACTTTTATATATTAGACAACATACGTTGCTCTGATCCGTAGATCTCTGGTCCCAAAGTAACTAAGTATTTGTGCCATGGAAATCGGAGGAAACGACGGCGGTTCCACAAACACGCAGGCCAGAGACAAAATGGAAAAGTTAGTCAAAGTCAAATAATAATTTATTCCATAGGTAAAATTTTTACACTTAAAACATTGACTTACAATTATATGGACGTCGGGTCCGCGCTAAAAAGTGTCCGAACTTATAGTGCGTTAAAATCGTATACAGAGCGTCATTCACGCTTTAGCATTCGTTTGTTCGACTGACAGCGAAGCAAGCAAAATTAGACAATACTGCGATGACATTACAATTTAAATTCAACGTTTTAGCTTTTTCATATTCCTTTACATGTCACTACGTTTAAACAGGTTGACTTGGGACATTTTTTTCGTGGTTTTTGTATTAGACCCGTCGTCCATTTATTTGTAAGTCAATGACTTGAAAACGTAATTTTTTTTAAGCTACTTCTCGTTCACTACGCTGGCCTCCCTGAGAGGAACGAGCAAGAAACTCTAGGGATTGCTCTTTTCAAACAAACTTAAATGCTATTGAATCATATTTGTGTGGAATCTAGACTCTTGTTGTCTTTCCATACTTTTTTATCTAAAACATGTTGCAATAAGACTTTTCAATTAAAATGCTTTTAATGTAAGTTTTAAACTTAGAAAATGGTAAACTTAATATGCTCCGGAATCTTATTGTAAAAACGTATACATTTCCCCATAAAAGAATCGTTTACCTTAGTTAAACGAAATCGTCGTGCCATGAGTTTGGACTTAGTTCTAAGGTTAATATTATGTATATCTTCTTTCTTAACGAAATTATGTATATTTTTATTTAGTTGCATTCACCCGGCCGGGGATCGAACCCGGGACCGCAATGGGAACCGGTGTGCAAGCCACTCGACCACGGAGGACGTCAAAATCGTATCGAGTTTGTACGTTACACTATTTCGTTGCGTTCGTTGTGCTATATACAATTTCGTAATAAGAAATCGCTTCCTTTCCGTAAAAGCACACACTTCGAGTGCGTTTGTCAATGCCTGCCACAAGCCACGACTTTTTCTGTATAGTTTTAAGTAACAAAATCATCATCATAGCGGCCGTTTTTAACCGACTTCAAAAAAAGGAGGTTCTCAATTCGACTGTTTTTTTATGTATGTTACGCGGTAACTCCGCCATTTGTGAACCGATTTCGATGATTATTTTTTGTTGGAAAGAGGGTACCTAAGAATATTATAATACCTCTAAGTCCTCTGGGTCTCTCGTCCATTCTCATTTAACTGCCTCCGTGGCCGAACGGTTACCATGCCGGACTGCGTTGTTGGCACCGAAGCAGCCCACGCCTGAGCGACCCGTCTTTCCACTTCCACTGTTTGGTTCTCAAAGGCCAGTGTAACTGAGTTGTTGGAAGTAACAAAATACGAGGTGAAAAATAAAAGCTACATGATAATACGGTAATATTTGTATTGATAACGTCAACATCTGTTACAGCACCTCCCGCGCCTCGCGCGCTACACCCCCCACCCCCACGTCCTCTGTACATATACAATTACAATTTGTACACACATTTACATGTAGGTTATTGCCGACCAGTTAGATCTGAGCCCTCGCCATGATGCGGAAATTTCAAAGTACTAAATATCCTCTGCTGACTTCAAGAACATTGAATGTCAAAAGTTGATACTAAAGCCACCATTCCAGGGTTCAAAAGTAACGCGTCTCTCGGCATTTACTTATTACACAATAGAACGTAGCAAACAGCTCCGCGAAAATAAACAGGTGTTACAATATTTCGTGGAACATCGAAAATAATTATACACTATGTTAAGAATTTGTTGGTAAAATTAGTTACTACAGTTAAAAAAATCTTTGTCAAATTAGCACACCCTTGCTATAATAAGGCCACATCTGAAAAATGCCAATTTTTTTAGGAGAGGTCTTGAAGGTTCTACGAACAAAAATAGCCGATAACTTTTTATTCTTAAATAGTAGTTGTAAAATTTCACATATACATAATTTGTTTCACGTGATTCGTAATGTTTTTATGATTTTGTCACATGTGGCTTTGTTAAGCGAGGGTACGTTAGGAAAAAAATTTTTACATCACAATTGTAAGTTACATCCATTCGTACGTATCTAATAGCTATGCAGCAGAATTCCGCGCGCGTAATTCAGCCACATTTACCACCAAATTTGGATTTACAAATATTGCAACATTGTGTTTTTTTATCACACATGGAAACTCTTTCAGCCAATATATAAATGCTAAAATATGTTTAGAAAACTAATTAAAAGTCACCATGTATAAAAAACACTTTTTAATTAATAATAAAGTAATTATGTGACAAACAAATGACACTTAAAACCTAAATTAGTGACTGTATTGACTACCAGAGCAACGAAATTAAGTCCGGGGCACTACAAACACAGAAAAGTTCGTTTCCCGAATTGATCTAACCGGGAATTGAACCCGTGACCTCCTTATCGAGCGTCTATAATGCTAACAACGCTACCTTTACTAAGAGTTTATGGTGGTGTGAATAAAAAAAATAAGAAAAAAAAGATTATTTCTATTATTTTTAGGATTTAAATAATTTTTAAGTACGGTAGTGCACCGGCAAGTTGCAATGAAGTTTCGAGAATAATTTTGATCATAAATGAACAGGCAGTACAGGCACTCGTCCTAAGTCTAACAATTATTAAGTTAATATTATCAAAATGGCGCGCGCGAGATCTATACAGCACAAGCTTGTTCGTCGAATTGACTGATCATATTTAATGTAATGCCATTAAATGGGACATAGTTAGGTGGATACAGCACATCAGTTTGGTTTTTATCAATTGGAGATCCGTGAATTTTACCTACGCCAGGCGCGGCGGCCTGCAAAGTCAAAGTTAAATCTAATCAAGTTGTAGAATTTTAAAACACCTAATATTTTCTTCTATAGACAGTATTACCAACATTCAAAAATAAACGGACATTCGTTACGTATGTGTCATCATGGGTAAATATCAGATTAGGTTTCTCTACTTAATTTCGGAGGAATTTTTTTAAATTATCGTGATATATTAAATAATAATTCAGGTTACTACACTCATAGATATTTACCCTTCAAGTACCGTGGATTGTTTTCCACCCCGTATAAAGAAGGTAGGCAGACACCATAATTACTATTAATGGAGAACGTTGGCTTTTCAAAGTTGTACGTCTAACGTCTGAGTCACACATTTACTTACACTGACATTTATTGGCAGGAAAACGGCATGAGCCGGGAGAAAAAGTGCACGTCATTTTCGCTCTTATTATATGGAAATAAACCTTTTTCTCATCAGCTTAATGGCATTCCGTGCCGATAAGTCTGGTTGCTTCTTTAGTGCGTGGAGAAACCGCACCCTCATGCACGAATGGCATAAGTGGAGTCACGTCAAAAACGTTTATTGCTCCATTAAGTATAGAATGCGTTGACGTTATTGAACAATACTAACTGACAACATTGATCGAAACTGACACTGGGCCAAGCTAATGGCCGCCATTAAGGAAATAGAATAGAATAACAAAACAGTACATAGTACTAAAAAAACCGACCTCAAAAGTCATTCATCCCCTAGTTTGCGACCCTTAGAGGTGGTATATTTTCTTCAAATTTAAACGGGACCACTTCTGAGGTATCCCTTTCCAATAAAAAAAGAATCGTCAACATCGGTTCACAAATGCCGAGTTATCGCGTAAAATACATACAAAAAAAAAACAGTCGAATTGAGAACCTCCTCCTTTTTTGAAGTCGGTTAAAAATATAACTCACATTCTCTTCAATTCTTGTAATTCTATAGGCTAATATTGTAGACAGTGTTACAAGAATTGGATAGGATGTGGGTTATATTTTTCTGTACATAATCGAGCTATAAACATGTTTGACGTAACTCCACTTATGTGATATGTATAGATACATATGTATAAGTACATGGCACTACATTAATAACATATTTTTAGTTTCGTCATTCTATTAACAATTTTATTATTAGAATTTTACAATTACACCTACGCGTTAGTTCGTCGATTAATCAACTTAATAAAAGTCCTAAAAAATACGCAACTACAATTAAATAATATTCTTTTATTTATTTGGTATTTCGTCAACTTTTGTTAAAATATCTCTTTTTTTTATTCAAACATTAAATCAACTACGACATTTTATTGCGATATATTAAAATATTAAATTCAATTTGCTGTGATGGAACCACAGAATCGCAAGACAAAAAACAATTGAACTTAAACAAAAAAAGGAAGATCGAAAATTTCATTTAAAAAAATGGATTTCATGCATCTCTTACGCATTGAAATAAGATAAATAAATCCAGTTCTTAGGTTTTCGCGATTGTTACACACAGGAAATGAAACTATTTTTCCGGATTTAAATCGCGTATATTTGTTTTTTCAAACAAACCGACATTTCGGGCCCTTTACAGGTCCGGGCGACAAATATACGCGATTTAAATTAGGAAAAATAGTTTCATTTCCTATAAGATGAATAAATCATGTTCAATGTTCAATTACACTCAGCAATGATATCCTCTTAAATGGCATGCGTTGCACAGATGCCATGTTATAATAATAGCACATTTAGTTTTTTAATTCGGGGCATACGTAGATTACCTTCACGGGAGGTAGGCGGTCTATAATATGTGACACGGTCTGTATAATGTGCAATAGTTGGAATAGGGTGTTCCAAATGAGTAGACAAATATTAATGAATTACTTTTCGAACTTTGGATTCCCAGAAATAGTTTTACTACATAACGTGCGTTTTATATCCCGTAACGCAATTTAAGTATGACCTTCTTTAGCCTCATTTCTAGGAATGTTTTTTTTTTCAGCGATTTTTTAACATCGAGATTCCACAGACTATATTTTTGACGTCACAAAACTAGAGCATGCATACGGAAATAGAAAAGTACCCCTTGTCTTGGCTAAATATTTCGTACCCCAATCGAGATTTCTCGCCGTTCATACTTACAGTATAATACAACAAAAACGTACACTTGAAATACAAAAATATATAAATAGATAATTTTTTTATTCTTAGTGATCGAATTTTCAAATCGTTAAAGGTTTTTTATGGCGACAAAATAAATTTGAAAATGTAGCACTTTTTGCAAATACTTTCGAAGCTATACTGCAATAATTCTCAATGGAATGCTCCAGCATTAAATTAATTGCCGTTATGTTCAGTAAATCTGTATAGCGGTAGTGCGTGGCGCTGCTCGTTCGTCTGTTTGTTCGATGTCAACATCAGATATGTTAGAGGTCCGTCTCGGACGCGGCGTCGAGCCAGTGCCGCTCGCGGCGCGTGCGCCGGCGGCCGCTCTCCGACTGGGGATCGCAATAACATTATTAATCTATTTGCATTACGTCAACTCAATATTCAAACGGTGTTGAAGGAAAGAACGTCCTGCTGTTATGCGCCTGGTGCTCTGCGAATAGCAAACGGCAACAAGGCAACGTTAGTTTTGTTTTTCATTAATTTAGAAGGCGATGGCTTGTACATGATTTTTGTGGAAATGCGAAACGGTTACAAAGAACAACCGCAGGGGTTTCCGGTAAGAGCTTTGGTTTACTGCGCAACGGACCTTTTTTTCAGTCCCTTGGCCTTCCTCCCCGGCCGTCCCGCCGCTGACCTCGGCCACCCTGGCCACGGCCCTCTGCTCCTTGGCCGTGAGCAGGTCCTGCAGCATGACGGCCGCTTCCATTTCCGCCATGCTAATCGATTGCACCGGTTTCGGAAGATCCTCTTCTTCTATATCTGGGACGAAAGCAGTTTTCGCGTTAGTAATGCGCACAGTGTAACAGACGGGACCTCCGTCAGACGCGACAGATACGGTGCCAGACATCGTAGGTTTCGTTGTAACGTTAAAGTTAAAGTAACGAAGGAAATGTTTTGCAGTTCGAGCGTTCGAACAGGTACAGGTGCGAATGTGGTTACGCAATGCATCTGTCCGCAGCCGACGCGGAGGCGGTGTGCGGTGTGACGTCACGTGGCGGCACCGACCGTGGTACGAGAAGAGCCTCGGCGGCGGGCGCAGCGCGCGCAGCGCCACGGTGTCGCCCTTGAGCCGCGCCGCGTGCGCGCGCAGGCGCAGCTCGGCCGCGCCGCTCCAGCCGGCCGCGCCCGGCGCGCTGCGGACGATGACGTCAGAGGTCAGAGCGGCCGAGGCGGCGGACCTCGCGTCGCCGCCGGCCGTACGTACTGCGCGTCGTGCTGCAGCCAGGGCCCGGGCGACAGCAGCGGCTCGCCCAGCGCCTGCGCCGGCGCCGCCGCCTCCGCCTCCAGCCGCGACAGCAGCTGGCGCGCCACGCGCTCGGCCGCGCAGCGCTGCAACACGAGGCA